GAGGTAATTCAAATATAACATTGTAATTATTATCTTTTAAATTTTATTTAATGTTTACTAAATCAAACAAAAACAAATTTTATAGCCTTAGGGACCAAAATTTGGACCAATTAGAAAATGGGCCCAACAACCAAATACACAGTTAGATTCAGCATAGGAAAAAAATTGTATTACTAATAGCATGAAAAATTGTAATACTTATAGCAAAAAGTCCAATCATAAAGAATCAATCTTTCTCAAAATCAAAATCCCAAAATATTGTTCTCTTCTATATACTGTAAAATATCATGAATCAATAAAATGCTATCCCTTATATAATGCTTAATGGTCCAATATCTATTTCATAGAGATCCAAAGACTATACTTAAGTAATTGTCCATTAACCAGGAAACCCTTGTTTTCCCCCCTTTTTTGCCCCTAATTCCTAAACGGTTTGAGCCATAACCCCCCAAAGCCAATCCTAACCATCCCTTTGTGATATGGAAACTTGTGGTATAATTTCAGTGAGATCCATACACTGTTCCACAAGTTATTTTCTGGAAACTAGAAAAATGCTTATTTGGGCCCCTTTTTGGCTCCTAATTCCTAAACTGTTGAGACCATAACCCCCAAAATCAATCCCAACCTTCCTTTTGTGGTTTTAAACCTTGTGTTTAAATTTCATAGATTTCTATCTACTTATACTAAAGTTATTGTCCGTAAACCAAATGTCTTCGGACGACACTTACGCCGACGACGACATGATACCAATATATGACCGCAAAATTATTTGCGGTCGTATAAAAATAATGGTGCTTTGAAACACCCAAGATATATGTTTATGACTCAGAATTTTTTTACTGCAATGAAATGTAGGATTAATTTCCTACAGCTGTCAAATTCAAGGGAATATTTTTTTTCGACCCTTTTTAGTATGCAACCGGATGTAGCGTACTATGATTTGATGGTATTACACCTATAATATCAAATTAAGATAGGAACCTCAGATCTATTATACTAGGCTTTTTATCATGGCTGATGGTAACAATATTGCTACTTGTTCATGAATATATCTTTATATATATATTATCCCAAAGCTTGGTTTTTACAACATTAAAGGCATACATTTTCTTTCCATGAAAGATGGGGATTGTACAAATATAACTAAACAGACTTTGATATTCAAAGTGTTGCATTTATTCTGAAATGTGTGCATTAACTGAAATACTAAACCTTCTATGTTTTATGTTTATTTCAAATCAACCCAATCTAATTTTGAAGGTCTATTATCCACTATAAGGATCACTAATTAGTATACATTGTATTGTATAATTATAACTATTCAGCATGTCTATCAAATAAATTGCTGTTCAAACAATTTAAGTAAGTAAGAAAGTACATGTAAGTCAGCAAAACTTTATTTTGACTCAGCATATTGACAAACAATTTAAACCTAAGCTCTGATGAGCTTTTCACCAAATAAAGCATCACATAATCATTTTTAAAAAACAAATTATGATTGCATCAGATTACTGATCAATAAAGTTCTACCTTCTTTATTGTGTGTTGTTAATCTTTATATATTATACTAGAACACACCCGCGAAATCGCGGGTATTTAGAGCTTGGTTGAAAGTATGTATACTGTTGTAGGATGAATTTTTGTAAAAGATTTTATGTCTGGAGAATTTCAGAAAAGGTATCAAACTGATTCATAGGCACATGGAAACAGAACAATTATTTTAAGCCCTCTCCATTTTTTCCAAAGTCCGTTATTTTTTTGTTCTTTGTTAAATTCCATGATTTTCGCGTTTCTGTATACTATGAACATACATACAATATAAATAAAGTGTATTTACTATTAACTATCAATTCCAAGTTTCTTCTCCACAGCGATCACTGCTATATTATATAGAGAGTCTCTATATATTATAGGGTTATAATCATAGTATACATGCAGAATAACGCGAAAATAATTGTCCTGTCCCTGAGTAATTATGAAAATTATGTTTAAAGTGGAGAGTAAAGGGGAGGGGTATCTGCACAGAAGAACGCGAAATAAAATTGCCATTTCTCGATGAGCGAACAATTAAAAATTTCTTGCACGTTGATCTTTTTATCGATTTCAAGTAACACGGTGAATAATGAACCTTTTTCACGGCTGCATGTGAAATAAAAAGTGGCAAAACACGTTGCACGAAAATAACCCTTTACCCCCTCTTTTAAAGTTTAAAATCGGAAGTTTTGGGTATGACTTAAAAGTTGGTCTGATGACGGAAACAATATCCAGACGCCTTTTTCTTCGTTTTTCTCCCAAAATAACTCAAACTGAATAATCATATGAATGGATGACAAATGCGACTATGCATAGTACCTATAGGACACAGAGGCATGATGATTAATTTATTGGGGAAGGAAGAGAAGCGACACACAAAATGAGGTCTTCTCGTTTAATAGTATAGATGATAGAACATAACTACTCTATTGATTTTTATAGTTTGTTCTTATGTTGTAATGTTACACCACTGTCCCAGGTTAAGGGGAGGATTTGGTGCCAGCAAACTAGTTTAACCCAGCCACATTCTATATGTGCCTGTCACAAGTCTGGAGCCTGTAGTTCAGTGGTTGTTGGTTGTTCATGTCTGTCATATTTGTTCTTCGTAAATTGTTTTGTTATAAATTAGGCTGTATGTTTTCTCAATTAAATTGTTTCATATTTTTCATGTCAGGGCCTTTTATAGCTGACTATACAGTATGGCTTTTTCTCATTGTTGAAGGCAATATGGTTGCCTACAAATTCTTACATCCACTCCATTTGAACTTTGGTGGATAGTTGTCTCATTGACAATCATACCACACCTTAGTTTTATATGCATATGAATAATATCTTACTTTTTATATATTATATGATTGAAAATAACTACATGTACTATACTGCATATAAATAATATTCAAAAATTGGTAGAAGTATGAGTTGGTTAAGGAAATAGGCGTTGGTAAAAATCGAGTTTGAGTTTGTTGAGTGCAAGTTGGCAAGGTACGAGTTGACATAAGAACAGACAAGATGAACCAATAAGAAAATGAGAAACAGTCCACTGAAGACCCTGACAGATTTATTGACAAAACTGTATCATATCAATTTCTGGCAAAAACAGAAGCTGTTTGAACAACATTTATGATACTATTATTTCTGATCCTTTTCCAAGTTTCTCCTATCAATTCTCATTAAATGTGTCTCAGTAATTTATAAAAGTGAATACACAAGATGTGCAAATACCTATTAATGTCAATGGATAATTTTGTTAGTAACATCAGAATAAATCACTGAAAGAAATCTCTGTATTACTGAAAAATTATTACACCAGGATTTTAGATATCACAAACTTGTCAAATCATTTACTAAATTTTATCATCGGTACAAGGACATCAGTCGTAAATATAAATCAACGTGCACACATCTTATACGTTTAGGTAATTCACATCCAATCTTTTATGGTAATATTCTATACAAAGCACAAAAATGTCGACATTCACCTCAAAAGCTAACCAAACCTTTAAACAGACTGTTGTCAGGTCATTACAGATGAAATTAATATTGATTCACTCATAGGGTCTTTGCATCAGAAATAAACACATTTATTCTAAAACCAGTCGTTGGCATGATAAGGGTTATGTTCTTCTATTTTATGATGGTATGATACTAAACCCTTAACGGGAGGGATTGTGCTTGGTTTTCATATGATGAAGACATAATCTTTCAGTTTAATTGAGGTCTGGAGCTGGCATGTCAGTAACTGCTAGTAGTCCTTTGTTAATTTATGTTGATCATTGTCATTTTGCTTAGTTTGTTCTGTTACCTATTCTGACATCGGACTTGGACTTCATTTAAACTGAGTTTGACTGTGCATACTGCAGTGTGTTTGTTTATTCTCCATTAACCAGAGGTATAGGGGAGGATTGAGATCCCACAAAACATGTTTAACCCCGCCACATTTTTGTGCCTGTCCCAAGTCAGGAACCTCTGGTCTTTGTTGGTCTTGTATGTTTTGTTTTTTTTTGGTTCATTTATATGTTTCAGTTTTTAGTGTGACGTCCATTTACGCTTAACTAGTACACATTTTTGCTTAGGGGCCAGCTGAAGCACGCTTCTGGGTGCAGGATTTTCACGCCACATTGAAGACCCATTGGTGGCCTTGGGCTGTTTTCTGTTCTTTGGTCGGGTTGTTGTCTCTTTGACACATTCCCAGTTTCTATTCTCAATATTATAACCTAATAGAAAAATCCTTCATTTTTGATCAATGTCTGGAATTGTACAACAATAAGGCTCCCACTCCCAGGAGTGTGAATCGCTGACAGGTATTTCTGCCAAAATTTTTGGATGCAATGCAACAAGATTATTAGGTAATAATAAGAAGAAGGTGGATCTTGACATTCTGAGCTTGTTTGCCCATGTTAAATTTTCTCAAATCTACTATGGTTTTCAAGATAAGATAATTAATGCTTTTTACCATTATATATTTTTTTAGCCAGAAAAAAAACACATACTTTATACTAGATATCCTAAGGATCATTCACTCCAAATGGTTCTGTGGTTTCAGAAGAGAAGATATTTAAAATTTTTTATGATGGACGACGATACACACCAAGTGAACACACTTTTTTCTCCTTTTGCAGTGTGAACTTAAAATTTAACATTGAATTGTATTCAGCAATGGAACACATTTGTTTATAATTGTGCATTTATAGATGAATCTATTTTTATAACAGATTGAATCATATTCCATGCACAACTTACGTAATTAGTTTTCTTTGCAAGTCTGGTTATTCAAATACTTATTATTATTATTTTGTAACTTGAGTATCTGATTACAACATATCATTAATAAATTCCATGAAATTGGCTGGATACAATCTAAAGAATGTTAACCTCAATACACTCTTGTTGTTGGAACTATTAAAGGTAGTGATAGACCCTGGAAGATATAGATATCAAGCCTGTAGCATAAGGGTTTAAATACGTACTCTTTAGTGATAATTGTCCAACAGCATATCCAAACTTGTTTGTACCATTACATTCATATCTACCAAACATCTCTGAACGGATATTGTGGATCAGTAGGGTGTCCGACATGGTTCCATCGGCATTAAAAACAACATGGGTTGTAGTTGGATACCTTGCTGGGACAGGTTTCTCATTTCTTTTCCATGTCACTTGTAGTGGTAGACCATTAAATATACATTTAAGATAAGCAGTCTTTGCTGCATCTGGTTCTACATGGTCACTAAATACTTGCAAAATTTCAGGTTTGTCTGAAAATATAAATAAATTTGAAAACAAAGTGTGTGTGGCCACAAACACCTACTGCCACCATATTAGCATTGTTTTGCTCCTAAGAAGAGACAAAGTTGTTGACATTTGCATCTGTCCTCAATTTATAGTGTGAAATCAAGAGTTATAGTGCTTGCTGAATATTTTGTATGAAATTTTCATGCAATTTGTAAGGATTCATGCAATGGGCTATTTTCGTGATCACAAATGCCCAATGGAAACAAGAGGTAAATTTATATATTTCATGCTTTATTATATAGCTTGATGGGATAAATTAGAACTCAGAAATAAATTCACTGTCAAAACATTTTGTTGAATATCAATGAAATGTACATTCAACTGTATATGTCAATAAGTTCAGTGATAAAAAAAAAACAAACATTCATTAGCATAATGTATTTTCATAAGTTAAACACTAACAAAATTTCATAGAAAAGAACTGAACATTTTTGACAATTTTGACGAATTTATTCTTTTACACAACTAGCTTTACTTGCTTTTTAACAAATCTTGAAGTGACTACAATACATATCTTGCATAAAATTGCAGTAACTGAAATAAGCCATGGCAGGGTAAAAATTACTTGCTCTTAGAATACTGTAAGCATTTACTTTACTTGGCAAATGTACATGTTTTTTCATTTTTTTTTTAATCAGTTTCCTATATATATGGTCCTGAAGTGATGGAAAAAATTAAGAATCATTCACTGCATTTTACCATTGGGGTAACAATAATTCTAATGCAATTATTTTGTATCAATGGTTCTGATTAGATGACAATAAGCATAAAATTCTCTATCTCCCTGTCTGTAACTAAGGAAACCGACATTTTGAATTCCGGAATGTATTGACATGTTATTTCTCCAATAATAACCAAAAAAAACTCACATTTTGTACCTAGAAATCTTCTTTTTATCAAATTTTATTACATTCTGAAACGGACAAGAAGCCAGAAAACGCCTGGTGTTTACGTTTGATGCCGGAAGCATACTTATGATGTCACCTAGTTTAGGCGCCTAAGAAGATGACATCATTTCGCGGAATTTTCGTATAATGAAAATTTACACTATAATAATGACTAAAATTGAATGATTTGTTTATTTTGCATTAGAATAGAGATAACTGTATTGCATTTGAAGCTTTGCAGACGTCCATCAGGATTTTTACTGTAGCAAATAACCGTTCACCTGTCTCCGCTACGCGTCGCCAGGTAAATTAATTTGCGACAGTAAAACGTCCGCAAAGCTTCAAATACAATACAGTTATCTCTAAAGTTGTCATACACACATTTTTATTCTGACAAAACACAAGATACCTAGAACTACTTACATCTGACCATAAGATTTAATGTTTTGACCACAGTATCCACAACATTAGGTGCCTGTTTGACAGTACAAGTATACTCTCCTGCATCATCTTTACTAACTGAATCAATGGCAAACTCTCTATTAGTGGTTTTTACTTTGGTTTTGAATGATATTGACACTGTAGCTTCTGGTGCTCCAAACACTTCACATATTAGTCTTACTGGAAGTCCAGAATCTATAACTTTTCGAGGTCGGATATAGAAGTTCACTTCAAATTTATCTGTAAAATTTAAAAAAATATGTTTCAGATGTTGTGTATAACTCTCATTCTTTTTGTTAAGCTACTAATTTTTTATATAAATTGATCTCTTTAGTCTTACATTACAAATCTATTCAATATTAACAAACTGAACTGTGAGCCAAGTAAGAAGCCAACTTTGTTTGCATGGGGTATACATAATCAAATTTGAACTGCATTTTATTGTAGTGATTTTGTAGAGTTTAAATGTCCAACTCAAAAACCACCTTAAGGTATGAAGGATATGCTGTTTTTACCATTTGAAACCATTCAAAGGCAATAAATCTTAAACAATTATTGTTGTATCATTGAAATTCAAATCTGACCAACATTAATGGTAGGTAGTGATGTTGCAAAGTTATAAGGTCCTACTCCTTATCATCTGGAATCTGTAGTTACCATAGATAACGTTTGGGATATAAGTTTGAAATAATAATTACCACAACAAAGTAAATCATTACATCGGATGTGACCTTGAGAGGTCATACCGGTGCTATGTTGCCGCAGAAATTTCCTTGCCGTTAGACTGATTACTGAACGTATTTCGTATAATTACGTGGATATTATCAAGTGCAAAATAACATTCCTTATCGCTTGTTATATATTAATTTCATCAATAAATATTCATGAAAATAAATAAAACCATCACTCTTTACTTTCCATTTAGCATTTAGAAGCTTTTTAACGTTTTACACCTGAATTTTATTTTTGTCTACCAGAAAAACATTCGATGTTAAGCCAACCCTTATTCATATGACCTATGTTGACCTTAACTTGGCAGTCCTCAATGCGCAATCTCATGTTGTCCCTCAAAGGGAAAAGGTCGAACAGAGGAATGTTATCACGGGAATGGAACATGTATTTACAGTTTCTGCCAGAAAAGGGAACAGAAAAGAGGTGCAGACAAGTTATTGTAAATTGAAAATAAATAATGGCGATGAAATTGGTCATTAGAATAACTTAAATAAAATGCTCCGCAGGGCACAGCTTGATACGACCGCAGAGGTCGAACCCTGAACAATTGGGGGAAGTATGGACACAACATTCAAGCTTGATACAGCTTTGGATTTGGATTGTGATTAAATATTTGACACAGCATAGGTTTCTAACACAGATTGAATGTGGTCTTAGAACTTAAAAATTTTAAATTAGACATTCACCTATTATGGTCCAATATCCAAAATCTAAATACATGGTTAGATTCAGCATATCAAAGAACCCCAAGAATTCATTTTTGAAGAAATCAAACAAAGTTTAATTTTGGACCCTTTTGACCTCAATGTGGACAAAGTTGATAACGGGGCCCAAAAATCAAAAATCTAAATACATGGTTAGATTCAGCATATCAAAGAACCCCATATATTCAATTTTTGTTGAAATCAAACAAAGTTTAATTTTGGACCCCGATTTGGACCAACTTGAAAACTGGGCCCATAATCAAAAATCTAAATACATGTTTAGATTCAGCATATCAAAGAACCCTAAGAATTCAATTTTTGTTAAAATCAAACTAAGTTTAATTTTGGACCCTTTGGACCTTAATGTAGACCAATTTGAAAACGGAACCAAAAATTAAGAATCTAAATACACGGTTAGATTCGGCATATCAAAGAACCCCAATAATTCAATTTTTGATGAAATCAAACAAAGTTTAATTTTGGACCCTTTTGACCTCAATGTGGACAAAGTTGATAACGGGGCCCAAAAATCAAAAATCTAAATACATGGTTAGATTCAGCATATCAAAGAACCCCATATATTCAATTTTTGTTGAAATCAAACAAAGTTTAATTTTGGACCCCGATTTGGACCAACTTGAAAACTGGGCCCATAATCAAAATCTAAATACATGTTTAGATTCAGCATATCAAAGAACCCTAAAAATTCAATTTTTGTTAAAATCAAACTAAGTTTAATTTTGGACCCTTTGGACCTCAATGTGGACCAATTTAAAAACGGGGCCCAAAATCCAAAAACTAAATACACGGTTAGATTCAGCATATTAAAGAACCCCATGAAATCAAGAATAAAACCCCATTGAAATTGGTCAAGAAATAAGCAATTTATAGCAAGTATCTTCTTTTGCACAATCCTGTGCTATTAAATATTTCTTGCTATTGCGCAATACTGTACAATTGACAATTTCTTGCTATTGCGCAATATTGTGCTATTGGATATTTCTTGCTATTGCGCAATACTGTGCAATTGAAGATTTCTTGCTATTGCGCAATACTGTGCAATTGAAGATTTCTTGCTATTGTGCAATACTGTGCAATTGAAAATTTCTTGCTATTGCACAATACTTATTATATAATAATTTACACATCCTGTTTGGTGTGTATCTCCTACCATATCATTATAATTTGATTTTAAATATAAATCAGAAATAACCAACTTAAAATGGAAAATTTTAAAAGAAACAAAAAAGGAAAAAAAGAAAAAAAATGAAAAAAAAATAAATCCCCCCCCAAAATTTTTTGAACCCCCATTATGATTCATCACCCCCAAACTCAATCCCAGCCTTCCCTTTGTGGTATGGTACCTTGCAGTACAATTTCAGAGAGATCCATACACTTGAACACAAGTTATTGTCTGGAAACTAGATAAAAATGTGTTTTTTGGCCCCTTTTTGGCCCCAAATTCCTAAACGTTTAGGGCAATTACCCCCAAACTCAAACCCAGCTTTCCCTTTGTGATATGGAACCTTGTAGTACAATTTCAGAAAGATCCATACACTTACACACAAGTTATTGTCATGAAACTAGAAAAATGCTTGTTTTTTGCCCCTTTTTTGGCCCCTAATTCCTAAAATTTGGAGGCAATTACCCCCAAAATCAATCCCAGCATTCCTTTAGTGATATGGAACCTTGTGGTACAATGTCAGAGAGATCCATACACTAACACACAAGTTATGTCTGGAAGTTACAAAAATGCTTATTTTTGGCCCCTTTTTGGCCCCTAATTCCTTTACTGTTATTACCATAACCCCCAAAATCAATCCCAACCTTCCTTTTGTGGTATTGAACCTTGTGGTAAAATTTCATAAAGATACATTCACTTAAACCAAAGGTAGAGTGCAAAAACCAATGTGTCTTCGGACGACGACGACGCCAACGTCATACCAATATACGACCACAAAAATTTTTTTGCGGTCGTATAAAAACCTGTCACGCAGGCAAAGTCACATAGAAGTAGGCGAAAATACGATGGTTTTCGAAATGTTTACATTTTTTAATTATTCCAGATCATATGAAAACAATTCACGACATGTTCAAATCGTTATTGTCCAAAATACGTTTATTTATTTACGGGCAGTGGAAATTAAAAATCAACTCTTACAATTTAATATTATTCTTCCGGTGTATCCTTCATGATGGCCCCAATAAAATTCACAAACACATGTATATATTATCAGCATTGTTTTGTCATACAAATGTAATAAACAGCTACACCATGAGCGCATGATACGCCCTTCACTTTTTCAAAGAATAAAGTTCAATAACTTCTCAATGTCATATTAGAAATTCATAAAAAACTAAAGGCAGGTTATCTTGATATATATAAACCAGTCACCAAAGTTTCATGATAACTGCTCAAAGCATTGTACAATAAAATGCTTCGCTGGGGCGCAGCTTGATACGACCGCAGAGGTCGAACCCTGAACAGTTGGGGCAAGTATGGACACAACATTCAAGCTTGATACAGCTCTGAATTTGGATTGTTATTAAATATTTGACACAGCATAGGTTTCTGACACAGAAAGAATGTGGTCTAAGAACTTGAATTTTTTTAATTTACCTATTATGGTCCAATGTCCAAAATCAAAATACATGGTTAGATTCAGCATATCAAAGAACCCCATATATTCAATTTTTGTTAAAATCAAACAAAGTTTAATTTTGGACCCCAACTTGGACAAACTTGAAAACTGGGCCCATAATCAAAAATCTAAACACATGTTTAGATTCAGCATTCAATTTTTGTTAAAATCGAACTAAGTTTAATTTTGGACCCTTTGGACCTCAATGAAGACCAATTTAAAAAACGGGACCCAAATTAAACATCTAAAAACACGATTAGATTTGGCATATCAAAGAACCCAAATAATTCAATTTTTGATGAAGTTTAATTTTGGACCCTTTTGACCTCAATATGAACCAATTTGATAGCGGGGCCTACAAATAAAAAATCTAAATACATGGTTAGATTCAGCATATCAAAGAACATCATATATTCAATTTTTGTTGAACTCAAACAAAGTTTAATTTTGGACCCCAATTTGGACCAACTTGAAAACTGGGCCCATAATCAAAAATCTAAATACATGTTTAGATTCAGCATATCAAAGAAACCCAAGAAATCAATTTTTGCTAAAATCAAACTAAGTTTAATTTTGGACCCTTTGGACCTTAATGTAGACCAATTTAAAAAACGGGACTTAAAATTAAAAATCATAAACTCGGTTAGATTTGGAATATCAAAGAACCCCATATATTCAATTTTTGATGAAATCAAACAAAGTTTAATTTTGGACCCCAATTTGGACCAACTTGAAAACTGGGCCAAAAATCAAAAATCTAAATACATGTTTAGATTCTGCATATCAAAGAACCTCATATATTCAATTTTTGCTAAAATCAAACAAAGTTTAATTTTGGACCCTTTGGACCTTAATGTAGACCATTTTGAAAACTGGACCCAAAATTAAAAATCTAAATACACTGTTAGATTCGGCATAACAAATAAATAAATGTGATCAAAGATTTTACAAATCTAATGCGCCATACTGTGCAATTAAAGATTACTTCTTGAAATTTTTCAATATTTGAAATTTGAAAAAAAAATAATATTTGAAGAATAATTCTTTTTAATTTCTGAAATCTGAATTGAGAAAAAATTGACCCCCCACAATTTCTTTTTATCCCCCCCCTTTTTTCCCCAAAAAAATTCTTTCCCTCAAGATATGGTCATAATCTCAATTC